CACACACACACACACACACACACCACACACACACACACTCACACCACCACACACACGCACACACACCACACACCACACACGCACACACCACCACACAACACACACACACACACACACACACACACACACACACACACACACACACCACAGCCCACGCAACGCACGCACACGCACGCACCCACCCACCCACCCACATACACACACACACACACACACACACACACACACACACACACACACACACACCACACACACACACAACACACACACCACCACACACACACACACACACCACACAACACACACACACACACACACACACACACACACACACACACACACACCCAAAAAAAGAAAAGACCTCCAATGCAAAACCGTTTAGGGTCCTAAGCCCCCTAAGCCCTAAGCCCTAAACCCTAAGTTAGCGCAGGGGGGGGGGGGGGGGGGGCTTTGGAAGAGCTCCCCAAACTCCAAACACGAAGGCCCAGGACGGAAGCCAAGGTACCCTGAAAGTACACGAAGGTTTAGGGTTTAGGGTTTAGGGGTTAGGGGTTAGGGGTTAGGGTTTCGGGTTTAACCATACTAGGTGGGCCCTAACCCTGTGAGCGCACCTGCCCTAACCCCCAACCCTAAACCCTAAACCCCAACCCTAAACCCCAAACCCCAAACCCTAAACCCTAAACCCTAAACCCCAAACCCTAAACCCTAAACCCCAAAGAGCCGAGCTTCTGCATGAGCATGCGCACGGCCAAGGGCAGGTGCGCCATGGCCCTGGGGAAAAGGAGGCTGACATGCAAGGACGTGCCCTAAACGGGACCCGTAGTCCTACACTCCACTCTTCACCCCCCAGGGTTTAGGGTTTAGGGTTTAGGGTTTAGGGGCTTAGGGCTTAGGTGTTTAGGGTATACATATCTCAAAACAGCCCGGCTGCAAGATCATCCCTCGGGCCAGGGGGGGAAGGGGGAGGAGGGCAGGGGAGGGTGGGGGGGGTGCTCTGCGAGCCCGATATTGAGCTTGAGGCATGGATGGCTTGAAGCTTGCCCTTTTTGGTTGAAAGGAGCCTATAAGGGACCCTAAACCCTAGCAAAAAGGGAATAAGGGCCTACGAAGTTGCACCTCCAAACCAATCAAACGAACCACCATGGATACTATGTTTATATTTATGAGAGCTATTCCGAAAGAATCTTTTTTCGCATTAGTGTTAATACAACTGGCCTTCGTGTTCAGACTTTAGGGCATACTGCCGAAAGACATGTTGATGGACATAACTCGAGAATACATGATATGCTTACTATAACTGCGATGACTATTGCAGGATCCAGAATTGCCTGAGGAGCTATTATTGAAATCTTCCTTTATAAATACAGTTAATTCTTGTCCTGTTCGACAATTATCTGTTAAAACTAAATAACTTACTTGTTCTTCGATGTTTCTTTTCGACGAAGCCTTTAAATAAATGGATTATGATGTTGTGTTCAATACGAATCTTGATGACTTTATTCACCTTATAGAATCGAATTCCGCGCCCTAGCAACCCTGCAATTGCAGCCAAGTGGCACGACCGACCCGCAGTGGCGGTTTCCGTGTGAGATGCAAACCCTAAACCCTAAACCCTACAGGCTACAGAGCGATAGAAGACCTCGAGGTCACCGGTCGGCTTGAAGATTTTGCTTAAGGCTGGTCCGTTCAGATTGAAACATGTATCGTAGTGTATGCCTCCTTATTCGAGCTCATATTGAGTCCCCACTTGGGGATTGCGCAGGGCGTAGGGGGAACAGCTTCTGCAAACCCTAAACCCTAAACCCCAGCAGAGCTGTGTCTCCTTCGCATGCCAAAAAATCTCCAAAAGCTGCGACCTTTTAGCTGGCTGGTGGCTAGATTCTTGGATGACGGAGCTGTGCTCTCCCCCCAGCTGTCTAAGCCAAAAGTGGCTCAGGATATGCATAGCTTGCATGACAACAAACACTGTTCCTTCATTCGGCACTACCCAACTTTTTGGTCGGTTTAGGGTTCAGGGTTCAGGGTTTAGGGTTGGGGTTTAGGGTAGATTTTTTCTGGCTTGGGCGGAAACTGGGGAGGCATTCAAGCAATCGTGCACTTAACGCCTTGAGCGCTGAAGAGTATTTCTTGCGAAGCTTGCAGGCTTTCTTTTCCGAGGTCTAACTTAGGGGGCTGAACACCCTCGCCAAAAAAAAAAGTTTAACTTTTTAAACATAGTAGGATTCTATATGACCAAGAGGTTAAAGGTTACCTACCCAGTCCCTGGGACAGATGAAAAGCATATGGGGCTCTCTGAAATTCGGGGTACCCCTAAACCCTAAACCCTAAACCCTAAACCCTAAACCCTAAACCCTTAGGGGGGGGGGGGGGGGGGGGGGGGGGGGGGGGGGGGTGCCGAAAGGCCTCCTGAGGTGACCTTCGAACATGGCGTCTAGGAGCCCTGAGCCCTAAACCCTAAACCCTAATTTTTGGGTTTAGTAAACCCTAAACCCTAAACCCTAAACCCTAAACCCTAAACCCTAAACCCTAAACCCTAAACCCTAAACCCTAACTTAGGGTTTAGTAAACCCTAAACCCGAAACCCAAAACCCTGAACCGAACCTCGGAACTCTGGGCATTCGCCTGCTGGGACTGAGGTCTAGCAGAAGCCGACGGAAGACGGAAGTGAGCACCCCGGAATGCTGTAGAACTTACTCTAAGAGGTTTAGGGTTTAGGGTTTAGGGTTTAGGGTTTAGGGTTTAGGGTTTAGGGTTTAGGGTTTAGGGCTAGGGTTTAGGGTTTAGGGTGGGAAGCTTCGGGTCGGGGAAGTTTAGGGTGTAGCCCCGGCCGCGCCGTGACAATCGCCCATGCATCGGATGGCGCGTCCAGCCTTGCTTGAAGGTTCATGGTACTTACTAACCAATTATAACAACCCTAAACCCTAAACCCTAAACCCTAAACCCTAAACCCTAAACCCTAAACCCTAAACCCTAAGGTTCATGGTACTTACTAACCAATTATAACTGTACTTATAACCCTACTTATAAGTGGGATAACCCCTATAAGGCCCTTTAGGGGTACTATAAGTAGGGTTATAAGTACAGTTATAATTGGTTAGTAAGCACCATGAACCTCCAAGTGGCGTCTGTGAGGGTGGCTTTGGGCTGGTGATGCCACTACCCCTACTTTGGAGTAGACCCTGGAAAGCATGTATATGGGTGGCTGTCAAAATTATGATCCCTTTTGGGGTACCCTAAATATTAGGTGCCGTATTATAATAGGGATCCAAAAAGGGACCATAATTTTGACAACCACCCATATGAAGTAGGGTATATATTGCTTGTACCCCCAAAAGGACACCCGGTATATACCCTCACCAATATTAAAGAGGAACCCTATATACACTCACCAATAACAGTAATATAAACCCTGCCTCATATACTTTTTACGTATAAGTAGCTATAATAGGAACCCAGAACCAAAAAAATATTAACGTAGAGTACTCCAAAAGGTCGTCATCCCAGGTGTAAGCGGTGATGTTGAATGCGTCTGGCGACGCCGGGAGTTGGGGACCATACTTGCTCGGTTCCATCCCATCTGACAATACGTGGCGCTCTGGCCGTCTTGTGAATCCCGAAGGACCCATGTACCTATATAGTATCTACTCTATATAGGAACCCCTTTAAGGCCCAAGTATATACCATGTAGGTACATGGATCCTTTGGGAATTCGGGCAGAACTTATAACATCCGGATAAACTATGCTCGCGTGTCGGCACATACTCGAGAAGACACGCCAACCGACTTATGAGGAAGACGTAGCTAGCGCACGAAAGAGGACCTTTGTGGAAGTAGTTAGGAGGATGGTTAATACTGCCCCTGAACGTTCAAGTAGGGAAATTGTGGCGAAAGAGTGAATCCTACACCCCATGAGCCTGAACCCAAAGCCCTATAGACACCAAAGCCTAAACCCTAAATCCACAACCGGTAACCTAAACCATATGGGGGGGGTGGATCCGAATCTCACAGTCGAATAGGGAAGGTACCACAAACCTTACCAGGATTCCCCAAAACTTAATTACTCAGAGTATTCGTGAGTTAAGAGGTGTTGCCGGTATTGCCGTCTCTGGGCTGTTGGGTGGCTGGTGAAGCCTAAACCCTAAACCCTAAACCCTAAACCCTAAACCCTAAACCCTAAACCCTGAACCCTGAACCCTGAACCCTGAACCCTGAACCCTGAACCCTACGCCCGTGTGGCTCTGAGCACCCCGGCGACCAGGAGACGTCGAAACCTTTGCCGCTGAGGGCTGACACTGCCTTGCCATGTTAGGTTCCCCAGTAACCTAGGATCAAAAAAGTGGTGCCCCTTTTTACTTAAAAAGGGGTTTAGGGTTTTGGGTTTAGCCTTATTCGGGAACCTTTCAACCCCCCGAAAAGGGAACAAGGGTACTACTGGGCATCCCGAGCATGAATGCATGAATTTAGGGCTTAGGGCCTAGGGCTTAGGGCCTAGGGCTTAGAATCTAGGTGCCCTAAACCCTAAACACCAAGCCCCACGCGCCCATCCTTTTGCAGTTCGAGTCCCCACAGAAGGGATCTTCTATCTTCGGCGCCGCCCTCAGAAGTAAGCTGGCCTGTATCATCAGACTGACATGACATGAACAGGGGGTTTAAAAGTGCTTTGGGGCTGAAGGCTTGGCGTACCAGAGGGCCCAAACCTGAAACCCCAAACCCGACAACAACCTTTCAAACTCCTGCCCGAAACCCGAAACCCGAAACCCTAAACCCGAAACCCTAAACCCTAAACCCGAAACCCTAAACCCTAAACCCCCCTGCCCTCTAAAGAAAGCCCAAACCAGGAACCCTACAACCTGCAAGCCCCCAAGGCACGGCCCCAGGCCACAATAACCCTAAACCCTAAACCCTAAACCCTAAACCCTAAACCCTAAACCCTAAACCCTAAACCCTAAACCCTAAACCACGGCCCCGGGCCCACACTCTCCTTTTTCGCCCGCATGGGTTCAGCCATCTGCCTCGGGTCTGCTGGGAGGCCTCATGGAGAGCCGCATGCTGCCTCAGAAGTTTGGGTGGTTTAGGGTTTAGGGTTTAGGGTTTAGGGTTTAGGGTTTAGGGTTTAGGGTTTAGGGTTTAGGGCTCAGGGCACCCGCAGACGTTTTGGGTTAGGGGCCTTGGAGATTTACAGGGCCTGTGGAGCCGCGAAGACGGGTTTAGGATTTTGGGCAGTGACCCTAAGCCACAAGCCATATCTAAGCTTCCACCCTTGCCCCCACCCCCCCCCCGCCCCCCAAAGTTAACTGATGATCTGATGAACCTACATAACCCTAAATGTCTAAATCCCGAAACCCTAAACCCTAAACCCTAAACCCCCAAGATTCGGCCCGGCCACCCTTCTCCACGTCAACGCCCAGCACCCGCACTTCCACCTCGTCACCAGAGGCAGGTGCGCCGACCTGTGGGATTTAGGGTGTAGGTTTAGGGTTTAGGGTTTAGGGTTTAGGGTTTAGGGTTTAGGGTTTAGGGTTTAGGGTTTAGGGTTCAGGAGGTTTCCGACATTTGGGGGGTACCTTTTTGGGGTCCGTACTCTGGAATCCTATACTACTTGGGGATCTATGTTGGGGGTCCCCAATTTTCGTAAGATGCCCATCTAGGCTCACCTCAGGTCGCTAGGTGAAAGGTGCATTCGGGGTTTAGGGTTTAGGGTGTCAGGAGGTTCGGACTTCTGGCTCATACTGAGAATTGAGGACAGGCAATCGCTTGCAGTCTGGGCAGTGCAAGGACCTAAACGAATCTGAGAAGCATTCCTGCATCTCATCTTCTTGCACCCCCAAACCCTATACCCTAAATCCCTTTTTCCTAAACCAATGGAAGGAGAATCACAACTATCCAATGCGCGGTTCCTTCCTGTAGCCCCGTCACGTCGTAGCTTCGGGAGAGGTTTTAGGGCTTAGGCCCGGGCGATTAGGGTTTAGGGCTAGGCCCAGGAGTAACCGAGGGATCAAAAAACGGAGCCTAAGCCCTAAAAGAGGGAAATAAGGGCCTACTCTGGGTCCAAGAGGGCTTTAAAGGGGTGTCCGTGGCTTGCATGGTTGGACAAAACATGCCAGGATTTGCCAAGTGACGGGCATGGTTTTGATACGACATCGCGTACCCCAAGGAAGGACCCACAAACATGAATCCAACACACCCCCGAAACAGGGGGGCCCTGTAGACAGAAGCTGACCATCGTATGATCATAGGTTCCCTACGACCCCCCTCTGTACCGTACTGCCCCCCCCCCCCCCCCCTCCCAGGGTTCCCCCCTAAACAAAGGCTATTTAATTAAGTCCAATGAAGGCTCTTTAAGGGGGGAACCTAGGGGGCGTAGCCCTAAACCCTAAACCCTAAACCCCAAAAACCTAAACCCTAAACCCTAAGCCCTAAACCCTAAAACCTAAACCCAAAACCCTAAACCCTGAACCTTGGCGGGGGGGGGGGGGGGTAGTATAGAGGGGCGTCGTAGGGGAACCCATGAGATGACATATCCGAGTCGGCGGCCATCTCATGCAGCCGCACGAGTCCCTCGGCTGCTGACCTCTCGCGCCTGAGGCTGTGGGCTTTCATCCTGAACCCTGAACCCTGAACCCTGAACCCTGAACCCTGAACCCTAAACCCTAAACCCTAAACCCCAGGCCCTAAACCCTAAACCCCAAACCCTAAGCCCTTAATAATTTGCCCCGATATTGTTTTTTTGACTGGACTTGATGCATGATTCATGAGCATATAAGGATAAACACTGGCAAAATTTGCAACTAATAGAAAGCATATGTAGGACAATGCATTATCAGATATGATGCAGTACCACACCGTATCGAAGAGCGACATAAGGCATACAAAAGCAGGATGATGTAATACCATACCCAAAGCTCAACATCCAAACTCTATTACATATTATGTACTTGCAATAAAAGATGCCATAACAAAACCCAAACAGTTACCGTATGATATGGGTCAGACTTGAGAGTCATTTGAGCATGCCATGCGCATATGACATGATGCAATGTGACATGGTATGAGGAGAAATGACATGATACAATTTGACGACACAGATGAATTGCATACGAACTCAGTTAGGCACGTATTGATCTCCTCAAGAAGGGTATAACGGCCGAAGGTCTTGGAGTGCAATCTTAGTGCCAACTAAACCCTAATAGACGCTAAACCCGACAGTGGCGGCGTCGTGTAGTTGTGCACTGAACATTGTTTTGCATGTACTTTAGGAATCTTCGAAATATACACCGCGTGCCCAACCCTAAACCCTAAACCCTAAACCCTAAACCCGAAACCCCTTAGATGACTGTATGTTCGTGAGGCTGCATGGGGTACACGATAGACAGCCTAAACCCTAAGTCTAGCAGTCGATTTCCCAATGCAGACCAGGATGGCCCTTAGCCCCGTTTAGGGTTTAGGGTTTAGGGTTTAGGGTTTAGGGTTTAGGGTTTAGGGTTCCCCCAAAACATGATCCTCTTAAGCCCAATACGGAAAACATAACATGTTTCCAGGGCACCTAGTAGACTTTCCAAAACCTCAGTGCAGATTTGGGGTAAGGGTTTTGGGCATCCATCAAACCCTCTTACAGCAACCCCGAAACCCTCGGCCTCACGGTGACGAAGGCTCCATAGCCTTTCCTGGGCTTAGGGCTTCGGCTTCTGTAGGTTTAGGGTTTAGGGCTTAGGGCTTAATTAGGGTTTAGGGTTTAGGCGTTAGTGTTTCGGGCTCCTTTGCACCCCCTACACCCGCAACCCTAAGCACAGTGCTGCCCGCTTGGGTTCTGGAGAGAAGAACGAAAACAGAAGCAATTGAGCAGACATCTGCTCCCTGCAAAGAATCTGGGTAGCCCAGCAACCATAATCATAATGATAATGAGGGGGTTTAGGGTTTAGGGTTTAGGGTTTAGGGTTTAGGGTTTAGGGTTTAGGGTTTAGGGTTTAGGGTTTAGGGCTTTTGGGGTTGGCTACTTTATAGGGGCACGCATCAGCAAAAAAAAGTACCACTGGCCTACCAAGCCTGCAAATAATGAAGGCCCTCCTATCTAAGGAATCTTCAACATACCCCTTGGGCATACCTCTTAAAAGCAATTCAGGGGCGTGGCAAAATCCTTCCTTATGTTCTCCTTTTGTAGGTTAAGGGGTAATATAGGGGCCTGAATATGTGGAATACGGTTGGGGGGGCTTCTAGTATACTTATAAAGGGACCATAAAGGAATAAGGGAAATACTAGTAGTCTTTATTCTGAGCCCTACAGCGTGGGTTTGGGGTGTGTTGAGTGATTATTACATCCTACTGGGGTGTTCCAAGGCTTTGATGGTTTTGAGCTTAGGGTTTTCCTAAACCCTAAACCCTAAAACCTAAACCCTAAACCCTAAGACCCTAAACCCTAAACCCTAAGACTCTAGACCCTAAACCAAGGGGCCTTACTAGGCCACCCACTGCACAGCTCAGCTTCACCTTCTCCACAGTGCCCCCCTCATTACTAGCCCCCCCCCTCTAGGTTCCCCTCCTAATCTGGCCTTAGGGTTTAGGGTTTAGGGTTTAGGGTTTAGGGTTTAGGGTTTAGGGTTTAGGGTTTAGGGTTTTGGGTTTAGGATGGGTTTAGGGTTCAGGGCTCAGGGCTTAGGGTTCAGCATCTCCGATCGAGCAGTTCTATAGAAACGTTATATTTACGGCTCTGATATAACAACCGCCCACCCAGAGAATCGCATAGCATTCAGGAAACGAACAGACACAACAAAAACACTTAACCTTGTTAACCTCGCCATCTGTAACCTCAAGGCTAACCCCAAAAGCCTTGAGGCCCTGAAACCCTAAACCCCAGGCCTGGAGGCCCTGAAACCCTAAAGCCCCTGCCTGAAACCCTAAACCCTAAACCCCAGGCCTTGAGGCCCAGATACCCTAAATTCCAGGCCTGGAGGCTCTGAAACCCAAACCCCAGGCCCTGAAACCCCAAACTCCAGGCCTTGAGGCCCAGAAACCCTAAATTCCAGGCCTGGGCCCCTTGACCAACGAACAAATTGCCTTGAACTGCGAAAAAATTGCCTTGAACCACGAGAATTGGGCTTGAACCACGAAAAAAATGCCTTGAGCCACGAACAAACTGCCTTGAACCACGAAAAAAGAGGTTTAGGGTTTAGGGATAATTAAACCTAATTAAGGCTCTTTAAGGCAGGAACCTAAGGGGGGGGGGGACACAGGGGGCACCTTCTCCACCCTAAACCCTAAACCCTACACCCTACTTCCTAAACCCCAAACCCTAAACCCTAAGGTCCAGCTAAGCTTCACCTTCTCCACAGTGCCTGGAAACCATTCCGTGGCGGAGACGCCCTCGAAGGGCCGAACGTCCTCGAGTTTCGAGCTTGGGTCGCCCTGGGGACAGTATCTGAAGGGCTTAGGGTTTAGGGTTTAGGGTTTAGGGTTTAGGGTTTAGGGTTTAGGCTTTCGGGTCCTCTTCGGGCGACTCCTCGGACTGTGCCAATCTGGACAAATGATTACGACAGTCTGTGACCCCCACACTCGGTACGAAACTAAGAGCCTCCCGGAAAGTTGAGGCACCTGGTTTTTTTTTTCGTATTTGGGGGAGTTTGCTATTGGCAGACTCTGGCTACACCCTAAACCCTCAAAAGTAAACCCTAAACCCTAAACCCTAAACCCTAAACCCTAAACCCTAAACCCTGAACCCTGAACCCTGAACCCTGAACCCTGAACCCTGAACCCTGAACCCTGAACCCTAATCCTAAGCCCTAAACCGAAACCCCTAATCATCAAACCGAAGCCTCACGCCATCCTCAATCACTCATGTCAAGCCATCCTTTCACCTCAGAGTCCCCTCCCCCCGCAGGTTTGGGGTTGGGGGTTTAGGGTTTAGGGTCCCTAAACCCTAAACCCTAAACCCTAAACCCTAAACCCTAAACCCTAAACCCTAAACCCTAAAACCCTAAACCCTGGCCCCGTCCTGCTTCTTGTAGTTGAAGCCTCCCTTCATGGAGAGGGTCATCGACCGGCCCTGCAGGTTCACTGCCAGAACTTGCACTTTCACCTGTGGGCCAGGTCTGATGTTTAGGGGGTTTCGGGTTCGAAGTTCAAGCCCTAAACCCAAGACCCTAAACCCTCAATTCGGGATTCAGGGCTTACTTGGGTTCGAAACTCATCCACCCTGAGCCCCAAAGCTTTCCTTGTGTACTTTCCATGAAGATTCGGGGTCCGTCGTAGCACAGGCACCCAAAAGGGAGCGCGAATTGGATGTTCATGGCTAGATGTAATTAGCAGGGATCGCAGTACCTCAACTACGGTTTACCTACTTTTCACCCCAACACCCTGTTCAAAGCTCCACTTATCAAGCTGCCCAAGCCCTAAACCCTAAACCCTAAACCCTAAACTCTAAACTCTAAACCCCTCAAGCTGCTTAGAGAACGGCCGCCGGACTCCAAAATACTCCCAAAACACATTCAGTGGCCTGGCGGGGGGTTCCGGTTCCTAGGGTTTGGTGTTTAGGGTGTAGGGTGTAGGCTGTAGGGTTTAGGGTTTAGGGTTTGGGGTTTCAGGTTTGGGGTTAAGGGTTTAGGGTATCGGGCCTCAGCACAACGCAAGGGGAGCATTGCAAGCAGCTGCTCCGTAAAGAGGCTGATGATCCTACTCCCAAAGGATCCATGTACCTAAATAGTATATACTTGGGCCTTAAAGGGGTTCCTAATAGTAGCTGTAGGGCCCAAGTATATACTATATAGGTACATGGATCCTTCGGGACTACCAGCCTAGGATTTTCTGGGATTTTGGGGGTGCTTGCGGCTTAAGGTCCAGGTACTACATATGCATGTATGTGTAAAGTGATACACAGAAATATGTGTGTATATATGTATATAGTTACATACACATTTTTTCATACATGTGAGTATGTAGTATGTACTTCTCGTCGTCTCTCCCATCTCCTGGTAGCCCAGTAACCATATCTGAATAAGGGCACCCTTTGGAACCTTGAACCAAAAAAAGGGTAAAGGGTACCACTGGGCTACCACTAGCCCTAAACCCTAAACCCTAAACCCTAAACCCTACACCCTAGCCCTAAGCCCCCTCGTGCCTCCTGGCCAGGAGACAGAACGTCCTCCAGTCGGTTGACGAAGCCTTCCTGGATCCTGGGTTTTGGATTATCAGGGTTTAGGGTTTAGGGTTTAGGGTTAGGATTTAGGGTTTAGGGTCTAGGGTCTGGGGTCTAGGGTTTAGGGTCCGGAAACCTCTTAGCAACATTCGGGCTATGGGTCCCCCTGCGCCATCTCCGGGGTCCTCCGTTTAAAGGGAACCTTGGGGTATGGCCAGTTGCCGCGACAAGCCATCGTCCGAGCGGATCCGACAGACATTTGTTGAACAATGTCTGTAGGGTTTAGGATTTAGGGTTTCAAGTGTAAAAAGGAAGGCCTGCCAATTTCCCCCCTCGATTTCGCGTGCGTTTTCGCGGGCAAGGGGTGCAATGCAATTGTCCGCTTGCGTGAAACGCGTAGAATGGGTCCGGCAAGCGATCGTTCGAGTGACTACGAAATGGTTTCGAACAACTCGCAAGACAAACAAAACTCGCAAAACACAATTTAGTAGGCCACCTTTAATTTCACGGGCAAGAAGTGAGCGAGCGATCGTTCGATCGGCCCCGGAAATTTTGGGAAAACATCGCATCAAAAAAATGAGGCCCTCCAGTTTCCCTTTTGATTTCGTGAGCACAGGGTGCAATGGAACTAAGCACGTGCGCGAAACGCGTTAATAAGGCCGCGGCAAGCGATCGTTCGACTGGCTCCAATTTGTTTTTTTCCCTACATCCTGAACCCTATAAACCCTAAACTAAACCCTAAACCCTAAACCCTGAACCCTGAACCCTGAACCCTAAACCCTGAACCCTACAACCCTACAACCCTAAACCCTAAACCGTAAACCCTAACCCTACAACCCTACAACCCTACAACCCTACAACCCTACAACCCTACAACCCTACAACCCTACAACCCTACAACCCCGCAACCCCGCAACCCTACAACCCTACAACCCTACAACCCTACAACCCTACAACCCTACAACCCTACAACCCTACAACCCTACAACCCTACAACCCTACAACCCTACAACCCTACAACCCTAACCCTACAACCCTACAATCCTACAACCCTGCAACCCTACCTGTAGCCATCCTAGCAGACTCTTGGTCGCGCCCTCCACCCCAAGTCTAGTTTCGTTCCTGGATTGCGAACTCTTTGGCAAACAAATGCTGGTCACCATGGGTTTAGGGGTTTAGGGTTTAGGGGGTTTAGGGTGTAGGGTTTGGGGTTTAGGGTTTAGGGTTTGGGTTTATTAGGGTTTAGAGTTTAGGATTTAGGGCTTGAGGAATTATACTTGGGGGTGTTTAGTAGATGGAATCACCCCCCACCCCCCCAAGCCCTCGAACACCTGTTAAGAAGCATCCTTGAGAGTATCCCTAAACCAAGATCTCCTGTTCCTGGTTTCTGTGCATGGGTGGGCTTGTCCACGGGAACACGAGGGTTAGGGGCGTCTGGGCTCTTCAAGAGGAATTTGAGACACGATGTAGAGCCCTTCCTGCTGCCCACTCAAACCACACAGAAAACCCTAAACCCTTGAGATTTGGGGCGGGCTTAACATGTACGGCTTTAGGAAGCTTTCGGTCTGGAGGGATCGTAAACATATCCAGGAGCTGGTTCAGGAAGACCATGCCGACTGCGTAAGCGCCCGTTTTGGACACAACGGCCACCTTCACTGCTCACTCCTAAACCGCAAACCGTTTGGAAGGTTTTTTTGGGGGCCCTCAGTCATAAAGCCGCAAACTCTCCAAAGCCCGATAAACCTCGAAACCCTACAAGCAATGTGAGCCCTGTAGGCCCTACTGTATGAAGCCCTGTGAGCCGTGTAAATTGGCAACGAGCCCGAAAACCCTAAACCCTAAACCCTAACCCTAAACCCTAAACCCTAAACCCCAAACCCATAAATGCCCTGTGAGCCCTGGAAGTTTTCTGAGCCCTTAAATACCGTCAGAAGCCTCAACCGTGGCTTCAGTGTGCAGAGGGCGAAGCACCCCACATGCGTGATAGGTTGTGCAGAGGGTGTAGGGCTTAGGTAGCTCTCTGACATGAGTTGCTACGCCCCACATGCTTACATGTGTGCATCTAGCCGCTGACTACCTTGGGGACCAAATGAACCCTAAAATTGGGGGTCATATACCCTATTACGGTAATTCCTATTAAGGTATATGAACCACAAGCCCTTTTAAGGTTCATTTCGTCTCCAAGGTAGTAACCTGCTGCAAACTGGTCGTGCCATGCCTCCCTGCGCAGTGCGAGAGAGTTGACAACGGAACGGCTAGTGCGCAAAAAAACCGCGAACCCTCAAACCCTGAACCCACCTAAACCAACCCTAAACCCTAAACCCTAAACCCTAAACCCTAAACCCTAAACCCTGAACCCACCTAAACCCTGCACCCTAAGACCCTAGGAGTCCTACACCCCAAATGAGCCCCGGAAGCCCGCATCTGCCGGCCTGGACGCCGTTTCGGCGAAGCTGCTTGACCACTCCGGGCAGCCACTGGCCTGCAGGGCGATGTTGATGGGGTTAGGGCTTTGGGTTTGGGCTTTTGGCGCTCCTTATGCATCCTAGAAAGCTTAACACACACACAAGCAGAACCAAGGGCCCTGGTTCTTGTTTTTTGTCTTCGTGTGTGTGTGTGTGTGTGTGTCTCTCTGTCCGTCCGTCTGTCCATCCGTCTGTCTGTCCCTGTGGGTCTGCCTCTCTGTTTCCGTGTCACCGCGTCTCTGTCTGTGTCTTGGAGAGAATCCGGGTCCCTTGCCAAGGAGGATCCTACTCAGGCAAATTCTACCAAATTTGGGAGGGGGGGGGGGGAATAAACCCTAAACCCTAAACCCTAAACCCTAAACCCTAAACCCTAAACCCTAAACCCAGGGTATAAAGCTTGGGTAACTTTAGTATATTCTTTTGGCTAGAGGCTTTGCAAGTCCCCGGCTTTGGGCTTCACTGGTGTTGGGTTCACCCTAAACCCTAAACCCTAAACCCGTTTAGGTGTTTGGGGTTAGAGTTTAGGGTTTAGGGTGTAGGGTGCAGGGTTTAGGGTTTAGGGTTTAGTCTTTGATTTAGGCTTTATGGGTTATGACACGAGAGGCTGCAGTTTGTCGGTGTACAACAGCCGCAGGAATGTCTTTGTTTGAGAACGATGTTAAGGCCCCTACACCCCCTAGTTGCTGAGTACCCTAAACCCTAAACCCTAAACCCTAAACCCTAAACCCTAAACCCTAAACCCTAAACCCTGGTAGAACTACAAAAGCCCCAAAAGGTTGAAGCGCGCCCAATGCAAAGCGAAGTCCGCGGCGAGTAGGCGTGAGACTGCTACCTAATCAAAGAAGGTTAAAGGCACTTTGAACTAGCCGCATTTAAGGCTGGGGGTGGGGGTTTCGGGCCTTAATTAAGGTAACCCTAAAGCTTAACCAAACCCTAGACCCTGTAAACCCTCAACCCTTGTGGAAAAAGACCTGGTGAGTACTGGCGATCAGGGTTTAGGGTTTAGGGTTTAGGGCTACTGGTTTTACAGCCTCAACCCCCTCGAGCTTCGCGCCTATGAGCGCGCGGAAGGGCTTCAGGTCTTCGACCAGGCGCCCAGGCGCAGGCCCTGGTGGAGGCCGGGGCCTCTGTCAAACAAGGCATAGGACCGTGGCTCTCTTGTTTAGGGTTTAGGGTTTAGGGTGTAGGGTTTAGGGTTTGGGGTTTAGGGTTTAGGGATTACAACAGGACGCCCAAGATAATATACACCCGCCAATTGTCAATATGTATAACATAGACCCTACCTCATATAGATGACCGTTGCACAATCAGCTAGGGTTGAGTAGGGTTTGGAGACTCTAGCTTGACCAGCAAGCTAAGAAAATAGATCGTCTTTGGGATAAGAAGTTTGTAAGGCATCCGTAGCCTGGAAAAGGCACATGGGCATTTCTGCGCATCCTAAGATAAACTATAACTAGACCCTTGGCCGAGGGTCAAGGGGACAATGATGTTTAGGGCTTTGGTTTAGGGTTTAGGGTTTAGGGTTTAGGGTTTAGGGTTTAGGGTTTAGGGTTTAGGGTTTAGGGTTTAGGGTTTAGGGTTTAGGGTTTAGGGTTTAGGGTTTAGGGCTTAGGGCTTAGGGTTTAGGGTGTAGGGTTTAGGGTTTAAGGTCCTCCTGTTTTGATGTGGCGGGATGTGGGCCCTGATTCGTTCCGAGGGAACCTACTAAGCTGGCAACCTTGTCGTTACAGAGATCCGCGGAGAGGGCCCCACGCTAGTGTTAAGTATACACGTGCAGAAGCGATGCGGCGCAAGGCAACGCTGGAAATCCTAGACCCGAAGCCCTCAACCTCAAAACCCTAAACTCTAGACCCTGAACCCGAAACCCCAAACCCTAAACCCTAAACCCTAAGAACCCGTAAGTCCCTGCGATCTCGGCCTAGTGGTGGGAGCTGCTACTGGTGGCCCTCCTGCTCTGGAGGCGCCGAAGTCCTGCCATGGGTAGTTGCCCTAAGGGTCCATGTACCTAAATAGGGTTTAGGGTTTAGGGTTCAGGGTTTAGGGTTTAGGGTTTAGGGTTTAGGGTTTAGGGTTTAGGGCTCAGGGTTTAGGGTTCAGGGTTCAGGGTTTAGGGGTCCATGTGCTTGAATAGGGAATACTTGGGCCTTAAAGTACTTCCTATATGAGGACTTTGGGGCCCAATTATATACTAATCAGGTACATGGACACTTTGGGTTGTACGTCGGGTGAAAAATTACCGTGAATGAAGGCTTACCTACAGATGCAACTATAGCCATCCTAGCGACAACCTTTCATATCACAGTCCCCCCTAAACCCTAAACCCTAAACCCTAAACCCTAGACCCTAAACCCTGCGAACTAGGGTTCTTCAGGCTTGAAGAAGTCAAAGGGTCTGCGGCTCGGTTTGGGTCCGCCAGCCGTCCGGCACAGAACACTTTTCGATTCTTAGGGTTTAGGGTTTAGGGTTTAGGGTTTAGGGCTTAGGGTTTAAGCCCAAGAGTAACTTGGGGGGGGGTTTACGAAAATAGGGACCCAAAAGAATAGCTCCCCAAATGGTAGGATCCACATATATTCAGGTCCCCAATAAGGTACCCCTAGTAATAAGAGGGATTATGAGGGAACCTAAACCCTAAAGAAAGGGAAATACAGGCCTACTCTGGGGCCTAGATTGAGACTTCTGGGACGCAGTAAAGGGTATATGTAATTGCCGTACAGGAGCACCATGTGTTTAGGATTTAGGGAACGCTTGGGGGCAAATCCGGTCAGCGTCTCGAGGGGAAACCCCAGTCAACCTGAGTGGAAACACTAGGCAGTCTGCCTCGAAGCTGAAATCTCCATGGTAGTCGTGAGCAACGCATGGCTCGTTGCAAACTATCATCTGAATGCCTCAGTTTCTGTGCTGAGCCCGAGACTTTGGGCAGGATGCGGTGCCTCTGTGGCGTCGTCAGGGCCTTGTTCATTGTCACGCAAGTGAAATCAGCCAGATTGCGAGCGTTGTTGATCCGAAGATGTCTGGTGCACGGCCCCCCGGGCCCAGGCCCACTGGAACTGTTGACTGCACTCCCAACTAATTCAAAAGAAACCACCTGAACCTACTAGGTAAGGGGTATCAAGGAGGGACCCCTGCAAGGGGCCCTTCATCTTATTCCCCTGAAAATATATCCCCTATATAGCCGCTAAGGTCCCTCATAAGAGTTCCCTCCTTGAGTCTCTTGAGATTATAGGGTTTAGGGTTTAGGGTTTGGGGTTTAGGGTTTAGGGTTTAGGGGCGACTTTAACAAGGGAACCTTGAACCGAAAAAGGGAAGACGGGTATTAAGCAAGCCAGAAGAGGACTAAGCAGTCCATCTCAGAGTAGTCCTCCACACCCCAACCTCACCTCAATCCTAAAATGAGGGCACCCTTTTAGGGTTTAGGGTTTAGGGTTTAGGGTTTAGGGTTTAGGGTTTAGGGTTTAGGGTCTCGGGTTTACGGGCTAGTTTAACAAGTGAACCTTGAACCGAAAAAGGGAAAACGGGCACAGTACCAGTGGGCTACCAAGTCCTCGAAAGGCAGCATGGACAGCTTCATTCGATTCCGGGCGACGTTGACCTTGATGATGCGCACCTTGCCGACTCGGTTTAGGGTTTAGGGTTTAGGGTTTAGGGTTTAGGGTTTAGGGTTTAGGGTTTAGGGTTTAGCTTGTGGTGCTAGAGGATAATCCGGCAGACGAACTAGGACCTGCAGTAGGGTTTTACTGCTCGTCATCTACGCCGTAGGGCTGCTGCCTACATGAGCACTGTAGGTCCACTGTCCCTTTTGCTAGCAAAACAAAAAGGGTTCAGGGTTTAGGGTTTAGGGTTTAGGGTTTAGGGTTTAGGGTTTAGGGTTTAGGGTCGGCACTGAGGTTTAAGATAACCTTTGTCTAGGACTCCTTCTAAGACAGGTCCCCTCCCAAGGGGAACCGGATGTTGAAGCCCTCGTAAAAACAGCTGAAACTTCTTGAGGCCGCTGCAACTGCACTCTAAACCCCAAACTCCTCACGATCATCTGAAAGTGCAAGGGTTTTAGTGCGGTGTGTCGAAAGCTGCCTGCTGTGGGCCAACACAAGATTCAGGATTCAGGGTTTAGGGGCTGCAGGGCTCAAGAGTGTCGGAGTGAGGGTTGAAGATTTGGGGGTTTAGGATTTTTCAAGGTTTGGGGTTTAGGGTTTAGGGTTAGAAGTTTTTGGGGCTTGCTGATGGTTGGAGGAGGTAACCCTTGGCCCCGCTCTCAAGTCGCATCCCCGGGTCCACAACAAAACCCGAAATTCCAGATGCCGAGCTTTCCATCCCAAGCCCTAAACCCTAAACCCTAAACCCCTCACATTGTAAGACCCCTAAAATCTTATAAACCTTAAATCCCTGTAAGCCCTGTAAGCTCAACATATCCGTCGGAAAGCCGATGAGCCTTACTGTATAGCCGTACTTAGTACCCTAAACCCTAAACCCTAAACCCTAAACCCTAAACCCTAAACCCTAAACCCTAAACTCCCTGAACTCCCTGAACTCCCTGAACTCCCTGAACTCCCTAAACTCCCTAAACCCCAACCCTTGGTAGCCCAATCACCAGATTACAATAAGGGCACCCTTGTTTTGGTTGGTTAATTTATAAATGAACCTTGAACCAAAACAAGTGAAAAGGGTACCACCGGGCTACCAAGCGCATAAACCCCATAACCCTCAGACCCGATAAGCCTACACCCTACAAACCCGAAACATCATATAGACCTATACAGCCTAAGCTACGATTTGCTTATGAACCCCCTCCCGAACAATGACAAAAATCTCAATATTCCCCTTTCTTGAAGAAACAGTAGGAAAAGCTCATAAACCCTATAGTAAGTAGACTTACAATTGGGGTTATAGCCCTAAACCCTGAACCCCAAAGCCTATAATTGGGGTGATACATACCCATGAACCTCCACTAGGATGGCCCTGAAAACCCTCTGAAAAAATTATTCCTGAAGATGATCCTCTTAAACCGAATAAGGGAAAAAACATGTCTCTAAACCCTAAACCCTACACCCTAAACCCTAAACCCTAAATCCTAAACCCTAAACCTAATTCGCCGAGGTGCTCTGACATTCTCCCCAAGAGGAACGACATCGCGGACCTGGCAGCTGGGATGAGCTTGGAATGCGGGCGAATTGGGTTTAGGGTTTAGGGTTTAGGGTTTTAGGGTTTAGGGTTTAGGGTTTAGGGTTTAGGGTTTAGGGTTTAGGGTTTAGGGTTTAGGGTTTAGGGGGGGGGGGGGGGGGTCGATTCTGGAGAGCTCGATCCCGCCAAAGATGCCACAAAATGACTAAGGGATGCGTACCTCGGGATGTGCGCTCACCCACCGTTTGTCTGACATATATGTATATGTATATGTAAAAAATATACAAATATATTTTATGTGTATTTACATAAATAAATAAATAAATAAATATATATATATACACGTAGATGTATAAACCTACACCGTTTCTGTAAGTTAAACATTGATGTGGATCTGTGGATCACCATCTCCCGTATAAGCAACAGCCCGTTGGCCCCCCCCCCCCCCCCCTAAACCCTAAACCCTAAACACTAAACCCTAAACCCTACACCCTAAACCCCAAACCCTGAAACCCCCCAACAACTTAGGCCGGCACATTGCCGGGCTCTCCAAGCTCGCTGGAATGGAGGAATCCTGTGGGAGATTTGGGTTTGGGGTTTAGGGTTTGGGGTTTAGGGTGTTTTGGGGTATGGGTTTAGGGTATAGGGTTTTGATGTTTTTGTCAGCCGCCTGCCTCTTCCACCACTCCGACAGAAAGATGTTGATGTGCTAAACCCTGAATCCTAGGGTTCAGGAGTTTAGGGTTTAGGGTTTAACCCTAAACCCTAAACCCTAAACCCTAAACCCTGAACCCTGAACCCTGTAAACAATCTTACATAACCCCACACCGAGACCGCTCAGAGCCCACAAGGCAAACGTTTGAGTTATAAGTGCAGTTATACCCTAAACCCTAAACACTAAACCCTAAACCCTAAACCCTAAGTCAAGTGCAGTCAAGACGCCATCGGCCGAGGAGCCGGCGTGCTCCAGGCGTACAAAGGCACCCATCTCTGTGGTGTGTACCTTGCATGATTAGAATAGGGTTTTGGGTTTTGGGGTTGAGGGTTTAGGGTTTGGGGTTTGGGGTTTAGGGTTTGGGGCTACTGTAGGGCCCTGAATCATCAGAATACGGCTTTGGAGATTATTCCAGTATAATTGCAAAAGGACGATAAGGAATTTTATTAGTAATTATTCCGAGCCTATATTACCCTCGGTTTTTAGGGTTTTGAGATTTGCCTGAGCGCCCCTTATATGTAGTTCCTTTTTGGGTTGGTTTAAGGGGATTATGGTAAACTACCCTAAGAAGGTCTTACATT